CTGTATTGTAAATCAAATTTTAGAGTTCAAAATTTCAATTGTAAAAAAAAACACTCATAGTATCATATTTTTTAGTTTTTTAGTTACACATATGTGTGTATGTGTGAGTTTATTTATTTATTGTATCATTAAAGTGTAGTGTAAATTAATATACAACCGATAGAGTAGGTAATTGATTTGACGCTATATTGTTTAAACCCAACTAAACGCTAAATTGTACATTCCGAAACAACAATCATATTATGTCAATTGCCACCGGAATTTCTGGTAATCTTTTTTTTTTCTTTACCTTAATCCCAACTACTTGGGGTCGGCCACCCTTATCCTAAGCTTTCACTTGACACGATATCCCACATCTTCTACGCTCACATCAGCTGTCCTCAAATCGCATTCAATAGCATCCCTCTATCTCTTTTTTGGTGTTTCTCTATCTCTTCTTCCTTCAACATTCATTTCTATAACTGTTCTTACAGCTTCCGATTCTTCTCTCCTCATAACATGACTAAACAATCTAAGTCTATTTTCTGTCATCTTATCCACGATTGACGCAACACCTATACTTCCTCTTATATGNTCATCTTATCCACGATTGACGCAACACCTATACTTCCTCTTATATGCTCGTTCCTTATCCTATCTTCTCTAGTCACTCCACTCATCCAACTAAGCATTCTCATCTCTGCTACACTTATTCTCTGCTCTACTTTCTTATCAACCGCCCAACACTATGAAACATACATCATAGCTAGCCTCACAATTTCATACTAAATTTAAAAACTATAATTAGTATTTATTCATATATTATGTTTTAAAATCAAACAACTACTAATCAGGATATAATTAGAGAAATAAAAATTGATGTTGCTTTTGGAATAACCCACCAATTTCTCTAAATGAAACAGTATCTACAGATTTGCAACGAAGCGTTTCTTATGATAGTGATTTTAATCACTGTCAGATATCATCTATACTTGTCCCATTTATGCCTCGTCTACACTGTGCCTCGACCACACTGTGCTACCGTTTTTTTTTTTAATTAAATTTAGCCTAAGACGATAGTAAATTAGATATTTGCCTATCATTAGTATATATTTTTGTATTAATTTTTTTTTTTTAAATTACGTCAGTTATTCAAATAATTCAATTAATTGTTATTTATTACAAAAAAAAAAATTTGATACCAAGAAAACGTCCTATGAATTTTTCACTAAGATGGCGTCATCAAAAAATTCAAATTTTTTTTTGGCCGCGAATAGGTTAAAATAATTATTCAACAGAAACATACAATAATTCGTAATTAATAATCCATAATATTTCATTACATAAATAATTTTAAATATGATATAATTATAATTTTTCTTTTGCTATATAAATGAAAAAATTATTTTAGTTAATCAAATAATTCAATAAGTGTATGATGACACACGAACAATTATTTAAATATAAATTAAATTTTCCAAAAACAAATTGATCAAATATGGTATATTAATATTCATATAAATAATACTCAATATTTTTTTTACGATTAGTGTCGTAATTTTTTTTAATTTGAAATTTACAAGAAATAAACTGTTCATAAATAAGAATCAAAATGAAAATTTTTTTACTTTTCGTGTTAATAATGTTCATAAAAGTAAGATTAAGTTATGCTTACTTTTTACAGTGCTCCCATAGTCGTTATTTTCTAAACTTTTTTAACCATAATGAAAGATTTTTGTTAGAATTCGAAAAAAATAAAGATTATATCACAATCCAAAATCTTATTAACTATAGCAAGGCACTACAAACACACAGTAAAGTAATTATGATATTTTTAGATGACTTGGTGAACAATAAGAATTCTATAATTCCTCTTGCGTTGATCACGTTAAATATGTACTTAAATAACGTTTCTGGCTCTTTAAATATGATCTCACTAACCGAAGATAGTGAAAAAAATGATGCTACAAAATTATTGGAAGGCTATAAGATTATTCATGTCTCAGTTAAAAAACAATTAGAAAAATTCATTAGTAATAATTGTAAAAGTATACCATTTATTGATTATATGGTTAGTTGCAATCTTCCAATCAGTAGACATGAATATACTACAACTAATCTAATAAATATAAATAATCATCTCAAAGATAACATATTGAAGAAGTTTTATTTATCAGTAGAAAGAAATTCATACGAAAATTTTCATCCAAAAAATTTTTTGTTTTACGAAATAATGACCCAACAGATTATCAGCAACAAAAATAATATTATACAAATAGATACTAGTAAACACATAGAATTAAATTTACTTCGATTCACTCCACTTGACGTCCAATGTTCTGACGGTACTCGATTAACTATACAAGATGTATATGAGTATATGAAATATGATTTTAATTCTATGGATGTTTTAGAATATATAAACATGGTAATTTTGGCTACGTTTCAACCAATAGCTATTCTTATACGTAACTTTTTAACCTTAATTATAGTTGTATCTTCAGAGAATTCAGATAGTGTACCAAAAAGTTTCAAATCGACATTAATTAAAACGGGTCGAATAATATTAAATTATATTAGAGAATTCATTTCTCTCGGCTTGTACAATGAGAAACGGACAGCATTTCTGCGAAAAATCATTGATCAATTTATTATTAACTTAAACAATTATACTAAAAATGCAGAGTTTTCCAATTTGAATATAAGATTCAGTAATGAATTAATTAAATTACTTATGAATTTTTTGATTAAAAACAGATTTTATTTTACATCTTATATTGTTCTAAGTAATGAAAATATTAATGAAAATAATGCCAATGAAATTCAAGATCAATTAGAAAAAATCATGCAAAATGTTGATACATATATAAAAGATTTGAAAAAATGGAATAGTTATCTTCAATTAATAATAAAATTTTCTAAACGGAATTTCCAAGTTTCATTTCATAATCATTTAATTAATTCTAAAGTTTTAAGTAAGTGTAAATGTGTAATATTATTTATATGCAATATCTGATATATGTAATTTTGTTCAATAATAAGTTGATCGATTCTGCAATAAAGTTTTTTATTAATACTAAATTCTATAACAAATACACATATAAACAATAAACAACAAAGAATCGATAATTTAAAATTTATTACTGTATACTCTTTTAATTATATAAAATAAATATAATTATTAATTATTTAATATGTTACCATAGATTTTAAACATTATTTCTATATGATTATACAAATTACAACAGTGATAACAGTGTCCCTGTAAGCAGTGTCGCCACTGTTTTATATAAATTTATCAATAAATATCTGAAATAATTTTTATTTTGCTATAAGTCTTGTAACATAAAGCACAAGAAATATTTAACAACAAGGCAATTGAAATATAATGTAGTTTTCCACTATAAAATATTAATTTTATCCTTTAATTGTGTCAGTTGATTTGTAAAAGATTTATAGATATAATAATAGAATATACAACTTATTTTATAATTTATTATTAGACTTTTTTCCCCAAATACTTATGCAATGTGATGAATGTATTTATATATTTTAATTACATTAATGGATTCTAATCACACGTGATTGTTGTTTTATTTTTAGAAATTAACTGAAATTCATATAATTAACATAACTTTAAAAAAAAAAATAACGATAAATTTTAATTTATTTATCATTAATTATGCTTATATATTATTATGCTTTTATATACATTGGAGTATTTTTTAAACCATTATTTTATTTATTTCAGATCTTATTTGTGGTACTGAAACACATTTTGAAATATACATTGCTAGTAGGAATGATTGTAATAACATTGATATAGGATTTTTTAAGAAAGATTATATTACAGAATATAATTTAGAGGAGATATTAAAAGATAAAACTGACACAAATTATACCTTTATAAATAAATCTGGTAAACCGCTTTATATGATTGATTATTTGCCATATAGCATATAAAGTGATATTATAATACTGACTATTGTATAATGTGTTAATTATTTTCAAAACATTATTTTTTTCATATTTAGTATACAGAGTGATTCTTTTAACACTAGTCACATGATTTTTTTTTTAAATAGTATTAATATTACAAAAATTATTATTTAGTACTTTTTTGTTTTATATTTTCTATTTAAAATTATTTATTGTTTCTCAATTCATCTACAATAAATTTAAGGAAATTTAACTTTATTTTTAAATGGCAACATACATATTTAACTAGGTTATAAAATAAAATAAATAATATAATTAAGTAAATTTTTAGGCAATAACATATTTTGACAAATTATTTTAAAAGATATTAAAATTTTAAATATAGTTATCATAAGACACATCTTGACCTTATTATTCCTTTTGCCGAGATAAAATAATATTATTGTCATTCAAAAAATTGGTACAATTATTATACCAAACAGTTATTTTCCTAGTTTTATCACATTTTTTTATTTTATAATGTATATAATTTTATAAGTAGTTAAATATGAATGATAAAAATATAATGTTGATACCCTCATAAGGTGCAAAGATAAATTAAAGCAATTAATTGCTGATGAATTGAGATTTGTTTGATTTCATAAAATTTTATTGTTTCTCGATAAATTAAATTTAGATTTTATTTTCCTTTAAAAATAAAATATATTTAGTTTACTTTAAATATAACACATAATTTGATTATTTTTTTTAAAAAACTACTTTTATCTTTTAAATCAGTTGAATAAATTGTTGTTCGTATTCAGTTTCATTTTCATGAATACTAGCCAAAAATTTTTCATTTAAAAATTTTTGTTTGGAAAATGTGTAATGGTTTATTTTGTCTTATAATAATATAATATAATAAATAGCATGCTTATTTATTATCTTAAATAATGATTTTATTAAGAAGTGCTACGTGCCCCATCTTCTATGCTATATTAATATTAAAATGTTCGTTGACAGTTTAATATATAAATTACAACTATACATTATAAATGTGATTTTACTTTATTTTTTGTTTCTTTATATAGATTACCTTATATCAAATAAAAAATTGCGCTTAGAATGTAAGGGGAAATGACATATCTTTAATTTCAATAAAATCGAGTTTGATTGGAAGTAACATTAGGATTATTTCCTGAAATTAACATATTCCGTACGTTAAGAATGTTTAAAGGTATTGACTTGTTTTATATCCAATCCACCGCATACATGCAGTTTATAAAATAAATTTTTCAGTGCGCATTTTAGTTTATTGTACTTGTTAAAAGATAATTGAATCCATTTTTTAAAGTATTTTTACGTACCATTACTATGCATGAAATTAGATTTTTGAAATCCAACTATTAAAAATACAATATTTAAAAAATTTTTATTCGCTCTACAGACATCGGATGTATGCATAATGAAATCACAACATCATATAGTTCCTCTTAATATTTAAATATTTCATAAATGAGGCAACCTATATAAGATATATTATATGTGCGATGAGGTGACACGAATGATGCAACACATGGGTGTCTAGTATACAACTGATTTATTAAACAAAAAGATACCACTGAGCTGCGGTAACAATTCCGATAAACCAGTTCAAATACATTTCACTATAAACTTTGCATCGTAATGATCTCTGGGCATGTTGGGCACAAAGTAAGATCCTGGAACGGGTTCTAATCAACATGATTGAGTGCAACCTGGCAACATAGAAAGGTTGGCGAATGGTCTTTTCGGTGTAAAATCTAAAGACAACGCGACCTTCCTGTTCAGGAACTTAGCAATTCTAACTGAAAACAGTCGGAGACATAAGAAGTACGTTCGCCTCCGTGCGACCTAGCACATTTAAAATTTTTTTTTCCTAAAAATTTCCATAACTTATTGCAAAATAAACGAATTTTTTTTCGAAAATCTAAGTATTGTTGTTTTAAAGAGTATTAATTTAACATGTATGCAATTGTACATATAACATTTTTTAGCTTCGATGCGAAGCTGAGAAGGTATTAATTTTACCATGATGTGTTTATTTTTTTTTTTTGTGTGTGTCTGTTACTACTTTTTCTCAGCTCTCACTGGATCGATTTCTTTTAACAATATGTCAAAAGATCACAAATTGTATCTAGTTGAAGACATTACCCTTAAAAATTTTAAAATTTTCCCTCGTTCCCGCAAATGGGGGAAATATCCAAAAAAATTACAAATTTAAAAATCGGTAAATTTTGTCATTTTTTTCACTTTTTTTTCTTAAAACTTCCATAACTTTTTCAAAAATCAACAAATCAACATATTTTTTTTTAAAAATAAAACCTTAGATATTTCCCTTTCATTTGATATCATTTTTTTGAAAATTTAACTCTTAACCTGCTCATGGGGGGGGAGGGATTTATAATTGCAACTTTTTTACAAAACCTAACTTTTTCAACTGAACTTTTGAAAATGTTCCAGAAATACTGTATCCTTTAAACATATGTCAAATTAAAGCTTATGTCATGTCCTATAAAATTAAAAATTAAAAAAAACTAAAAAATATGATACTATGAGTGTTTTTTTTTACAATTGAAATTTTGAACTCTAAAATTTGATTTACAATACAGTTACATAGTTTTATTAAACAATTATTATGTAAATGAAAATATTATTATCTTTAGTGTAAAAGTTAATGAATAAAAAATATTTGAAGAAAAAAAAATTTATATTATTTATTCAGACAAGTTTTTCTTGACAGTTTTAGAACATTAAAATTAATACTCTTCAAGACTATTTTAGAATCAAATTTCTACGTTGTATAATGTATTCTAAATTATTAAATAAACCAAATTTTTAATGTAAATTTAGTAAAAAAATAAGAATTATTATTCTTATGTCTTAATATTACAATTAAAATTTTGAAATAAAAGAATGTAATTACAATATTATTTTAAAAAACGGTAGCGCAGTGGGGTCGAGGCACAGTGNATTTTAAAAAACGGTAGCGCAGTGGGGTCGAGGCACAGTGTGGACGAGGCATAGATGGGACAAGTATAGATGATATCTGGCAGTGATTAAAATCACTATCATAAGA